AACCAGTATATTTATGTGTGAATTTATGTTTGAATGACTATATTTATTTATGAATAACAGGGTATTCATTTGTGAATATCAATGTATTTATGTGTGAATGACTATATAATTATACATAAGTTTCATTAACATTTTTGTAGATACAATGAATAAACATGCATATAGTGGGGGTGGGAGATTTACCAAATGAAACACCGCACACCAATACCTCTTTCGAAGGAGAAAAAATGTGTGTTTTATTCATTATGATTGTAATTGTAGCACTAGTTTCCGTGTAAAAAAAATATATATTGTAACTTATTCATTTACTATTATAATTATATTCTTATATGAATAGAAATGTGTTTTATTTATTATATGAGTACCATTTTAGTTGATTTTATAATCTTTTTTGGGTTTTATTCATTTTGATTTTACAAGTGTATTCAAAATAAAACTGAGTTAATTCATTTATAATTTACAATTATTCATTTTTAAATGTAATGTATAAATCATTATTATGAAGATATTTTTTTTTAAAATAAATGAGGTAAACCGATAAATTATTCATTATCAAATGTTGTTAGTAAAAATAAAAATATAAAACAAATAAACGTTTTTTTAATTCATGTTAAATGATATTTTTATTAATTTATTAATTAAAGGAAGATTTTAAGTATTCTTAATAATTGGGGAAAAAATTCCCATGATTTTCGGAATTGATTAATTACTTTCCATTTATCCATATTTAATTAAATTGTAAAATGCCTCTAATGCCCTTATAAAATAATTGGTCCACAACTGTCTCGCGTTCTCAACCTTTAGGTGTTCTCATTTGAGCCTTTCCCTATATATATATATCTTATATATATATATATATATATATATATATATATATATATATATATATATATATATAATATTATAACTGCATAATCTCAACCGTTTGAATGACTTCTACCCGCGAGTTACTCATAAATAAAATTAAATATAGTATATGGTTTAATGTTATTTATAGTTGTTGTTATTGTTAATTAAGTTTTTAAAATTTATTTGTTTAACGTTTAAATTTCTATAATTATAATTATTTAAAACATTAAACATTGTTTTTTTATTTTAAAGGTAACAATATAATCATTTATATAGAGTTATATTTAACTATTGTTATTGTAAGTTATCTTAAGCTACTTGTTTGAAAACTTTTAATGATTATATAAATATCTTTAGAAAATATTTTAGTTAAATTGAGATTATAATTCAATTTTTGCATTTAGCACTACAATTTATCACTTTTAACTATTTACAAAATATTCATTGATTTTTTAAGTGGAACTGAATTTATATTTAAGTTGACACTTAATGTTATATTTAAATTAACAATTTAAGTATTTTGTCCAAACTGTTCAAAAGTTGTACCTTTAAATTGATAATGGTTTACATACACCATCTTAATCTAATAAATTAAATATAATATGTTAAAAATTAAAGACATAACTTTACACCCAACAATATATTAAAACTAATAAATTAAGTATAATATGTTAAAAGTTAAAAAAAAACATAACTTTATAAGTAGAAGTAGAGATATTCTATTAATATTGAAATTTAGTTTATATATGATTACACTTTATGTTTGATATTGATTTAATCTTATTAACCAACTTATAACCATTATTAGGAAGAAATTAAAAAGTCATGGGAGTTTCAAATGAATGCGGTGAAAGGAAAAATGCATGAGAGTTTCAAATGAATGTGGTGAAAGGAAAAATGCTAGCTTTATAAGATACTAGACGAATTCCCGCGCATTGCGCAACGAAGATTAAAAATATATTGTTAAAATATTGAAAAATATATGTTTAAAATGGTTATGTAATTGACATTAACTTTGAGATAATATTTTACACTAATATATATATAATATATATATCAATATATATCTATATATATATCTATATATATAATATATATATATATTAATCTCAATTATGTGGAACAATAATATTCATTGACATCAACCCACATTCCTCATTAATAGAATGAAATATAATTATATATTTATTATTATTTTAACAATTATAATTATTAATTAATTATATTTTTACGTAAGCGATCATTTTCTAATTTCAATAATGATGTTCATTTGAAATACAATTTTATATTTAGCTAAATGTAATTTATAATTTGATGTTATTATCATTTAAAATTGTTATTCATTAATTTTAAACCACTTATTATTAATAATAAGTTAAAGAAGACTTTTAAGAAACACTTAATATTACTATTAAAATGTGAAACATACACTAAATAATAAAGTGATAAGATAGACAATTTGCATTTCAAAAGAGACTTGCATGAATAATATAACATATCCATGTAATTTGATTGTATTATTTATAATTATTGCTTATTAATTTTAAAACCACTTGTTGTTATTAATAAGTGAAAACAACTTTTAAAAAACACTTATTTATTATAATTAAAATGTTAAACATATACTAACATATAAAGTTATAAGATTGACAAATTACATTTTAAAAAAGGCTTACATGGATACTATGGATAATATGACATATCCATGTTGTTTTGAAGCAACATGAACATACAAACATATATACAATAGTTAAGTAAATATTATATACATCACCTTCCATAACATATGATCGATACCATGAATCTAATCTAATTTACATTAAAATTTCAACCACAACATACAATGATTTTCTTAAAAGAATACTTAAATCAAGAAAATACAAAAAAGAATTAGTATATAACAAACTTACAAATTAAAAACTTCAACTTAATAACATGACTTAAAAAATTGTTCAAACCCCTCAAACCAACACAAAAAACTTTAAACTTGTTTTCTTTGTGAATTTTGTATGTGATTTGTATTTGTGTGTCTACTCAAAAAGATTGACCTTTTTATAGTAGAGTATCCATTAATTGTTTATTAAATATATTATATAAGTTATAAAACCTTTGAATTGTTAATCATTATTAAGAGACTTTTGAGTGGTATTCATTAAAATAGGAGGTTTCAAATGCATGAGGTGTTTGCAAATTTTTATGGGGGTTTCAAATGCATGAGGTTCAAGGAAAAATGCTAGCTTTATAAGTATGTATGATATATATATATATATATATATATATATATATATATAATATATTGTAGTGGTGTTGATTATGATGGCATGTGCGGAATTAGAAAGATCTAGTGAATCATCATACAAACTCAAGAACACAAGGAGTAAATAATTCTGTGTAAGCTCATATTAGATCTAGAAAGGATATACAAATGGGTTTGTACACAATTTCTCTCTCTAGTCTAACACTCCAAATAGTTCCCTTCCATAATGGGAGTCACTCACTTCCTATTTATAGGAAAGACTCAACCCATTTACACATACAAGAGGGTAAGCCTAAAACACTACATCCAAGAGTGACTTTGCACCCTAACATATATATATATATATATATAGATATATCATATATATATATATATATATATATATATATATATATATATATATATATATAGAGAGAGAGAGAGAGAGAGAGAGGAGAGCGAGAGAGAGAGAGAGGATGAGATTCAAGAGAACCATTATTAAAAAGGAACTAATAAATCAAATGTGAGCGTCAGAAATCATAATGACCAATTGCCAAGGGAATGTTTGTACATTTGACGCACATACACCGTAATATACCAAAAAACTCACATCTTTTTTCGTTTAATTTTTTTAGAGTATGTTTTTTATCGAAAAAAACCCAATATACCATTATTCACGATTTTTCTTCTTTTTTTCGTAAAGATCCATATTGTTATATAAAAAACAAACTTTTTTTTAAAAGAAGCACACTTCGTTTTGAGGTGTTTTTTTTAATATTTAGGTTTATTTTTATCACAAAAAATTATATATATAAAAAATCTAAAATTTTAATATCTATTAATAAACGTCAACATCGATTTAAAATAAAAAAAAGTAAAAAAAACCTTGATTTGTTCAGATTCCCAATGTGAATCTAAACTGTGAATATTTCAATTTTAACATTTACAATGTGAATCTAACTTACTATTTCATTTACAAGTTAATTTAGTGGAATTTACATATGAAATTAAGTATACTTTCATGTAATTTTATACTATTCTAACGTTTTGATGACTAATAAATTAATTTTGTAAAATCAACATATGAATTTATTCACATTGTTAATCTGAACTGTATATAATTCAGTTTTCAAAATTCACAGTTTGAATCAGATTACTATTATTCACACTATGAATATGAGTAGATTCATATTAATAATATGAATCTGAGCTGAAATTTTGCTTTTTATGCCAAAATTAATCTATGTTTAAAAAGTAAAAGAAAATATGAATTTTGATATATTTATGAATTCTTTTCGATAAAAACCTTTAACTGTAAAAACAAAGAAAATGAAGTAGGTTTTTCTGAAAAAAAATCATTTTTTTATATAAATAAAGATCTCTATGGAAAGAGGACGAAAAATCATAAACAGTGGTACATTCTTTTTCTTTTTGTTGATAAAAAACATGGCCTAACAAAGTCCAACTAAAAAAATGAAGTGCATTTTGGTATAATCCAGTACATACGTGTCCATTATAAAAGTCTACAAAATATCATATTCTTATTAAATTTAACACACGTCATTTTATAGGAGTTTTTTAATTATATATTTTCCAATTGTCGTGTTCTTATATTTTTCATTTTTATAAATTTAAAATCCATATTTTATTGTAGGTCTATACATCGGGGCGTTGAGGGTAAAGTGGACAGCTGCACTGGACTCAATTTTTCATGGGCCTAATATTATTATTATTATTATTGTTGTTGTTGTTGTTGTTGTATATTCAAAATAACTTTTGAAATTTTTTATATGAGATAATGAGTAATTACATCCTACCCATCCCTTTATAAATTGAGCCGGAAAGTTTCAACATTCCCTTTTTATAGTTTTTTCCTTTCTTCTAAAGTTTTGAAAAAAAATATAATAATAACGCAATGCGTGGCCTCTTAGCTTTTGTGATTTTCTTCTCAATTTCAACATTCTCGTTTAGTTATGCAACTGCAACTTCTATAGATTCTTTGTGTGTATTTGAAGCTAGATGGCATATGTTTATAATCAACGATATCTCTGAAGACATCACAATTAATGTGAGATCACAAGGACATGGTCTTGGAAAAGAAACCCTTCCTTATCAAGAAAACTACGACTGGGACTTTTGTGAAAACGGAAAAATTGAATTTTCTGGTGACTTTTGGTGGAATTCAAAAATATCAAAGTTTGATGTTATATGATGAACCAGCATGGCAGATATGCCATAATACAAAGAAGGTTACTCAACATTGTTATTGGTTAGTAAGACCCGAAGGCTTTTATATTGGTAGGGAGAATGTGCCTTTTCCTAGTGAAAATTGGTTGTTTAAAAAACCATGGTGATGAAAGACTTGTAAGTTGTAATATCTGTGATGCAATAAGAAAACATGATATCATCATATAAATATGATAAAGAATATATTGCTCCTCGATATTTATGATGAAGTTTATTCTATTTTATTCAATATACTTAAAGAAAATTACTTTACGCTTACGCTGTCACTTAATTCAAATTTAGAAATCAAACAAAATTACTCGAACAAAAATTTACTAGCTAGGAACAATGATCAAGTATGTTTTGGCTTTGAAGTAATCCATATGTTTTATTTGTGTTTTTACGATGTCCTAAGAATTGTCACTTCAATTTTCAGATTTAACTTTTTTTTTCTTCGGTTTTAAACATCAAAATTCCATTAATATAAACGAGATGCCACGAAAAAGTTACAAAGAATGTGCCTGGTACCGCATACTGTGGTAAAGTGTCGTATGCGGGAAACACCCAACGAACCCGGAAATGAAAATTGCAGTATCCTTGCCTCGTTGAGTTAAATTAAAAGAAAACCCAAAGATTATTTTAGAGATAGTTAAAAGTTATAAATTTTAATGGTAAAATAACATCTTTTATTTGTACTTATAAAATTATGTCTTTAACTTTAAGCATATTATACTTAACTTAATAGTTTGGATATGTTGTATGTAAACCATCGTCATTTTAAAGTTACAACTTTTAAATATTTTTGTATAAAATACTTCAAGTTCCTAATTTAAATAAAACATTAAAGGTTTAACTTAGTTCAAAAGATGCATTAAACTTAAATCGAAATTCAAAGATTATTTTGCAAATAGTTACAAGTTATAAACTTTAGTGTTAAATGCAAAAACTAAACTTTAATCACAAATTAACTAAAAAAAATCCTAAAACAATTTTTATAATAATTATAATGTTAAAGGATTAACTACGATCAAAATTTCAATCAAACTTAAAAGAAAATTCAAAGATTATTTTGGAAATAGTTAAAAGTTATAAATTGTAGTGTTAAATATACAAAAGTAATCACAAATTAACTAAAAACTATTTTTATAACAAGTAAGAGTTTCCAAATAAGTAGATTAACATAACTTATAACAAAAATATTTAGAAGTAACATAATATAGAAAAATTATATACCTTTAACAACAAAAACAATATTTGATGTTTTAAGTAATTACAATAATAGAAATTAAAATGTTAAGCAAATAAACTTTTTAAAATTAATTAATCATAATAACCACTATAAATATCATTAAATCATATATTATATTTAATTTTATTAATGAGTAACTCGGTAGAGACTATTAAGACAACTAAGATTATAGAGTTTAAAAATATGCATGCATTATCATTTCATGCAGAATAAACAATGTTTATATCGACTTAGTATAAAAATGTTATATAAGATTTAACAACAATGTCATTGTTATATTTAATAATCACATATTTTGTAACAACCCAAATTTTTAGAAAATTTTTAATTTTTTATTTTATGAACATCAACCATAAGGAGTACAAAAATTCCATTACATAGCCATATTATTTTAAAATTCAGAGTACGAATACTAAATGTGAAAACACTAGAGAATGCACGTCGCACCATCAAGCCAGGCCCTTGACATTATCAATAGAAGTACCTGAAACATTCAATAAAAATGTAATAACATGCTTAGTGAGTTTCCCAAAATACACAGATCATATAATCATATAATACCATGCATACATATATAAACATATAAGTTTTCCATGGACTCCCTCCATGGTATTCTCATGGTCTTGTATCCCTGAGCCATTGGCTCCTCCCATGGTCTTGCCAAATGCCATAGGCTCCCCCATGGCCTGCACATAAGTCCACATGTAAATCCAATAACAAGCAATTACATAATCTCATACAAATCATTTCATAATCATTGATGGGACCGCCTTGGTGCCTTCGACCCATGAGTGTGGTGAGGAGACTCACCTCAAGTATTGAACGATAGCTGACTAGGTCTCGGCTCCGAATATCAGCTCTACTCAACCCCTAAACAGAAACAGTTCCTTAAATAGAACTCAAAATACCCTAAAACCCTTTAAAAGTCAACTTGGTCAAAGAAAAAAGTCAAAGGTCAAAGTCAACGGTCCGAGTTGACCCAACTCGCCGAGTTGTCCTTCAACTCGTCGAGTTTCTCCATTAAATGCTTAAATCGGGAAAACTCGCATCATCTCGCCGAGTTCACCTAATGAACTCGTCAAGTTATCCAGGAATCCAACAGCTTAATGCATTAAGTTGTTTCCATCGAATCAAGGAACTCCAATGCTTAGATCTCCTTCAAAATGATGTCTAGAAGGGTAAAGTTTCCAACTTTACCATTAGGAACCAACACAATGAGCCCAAACCCGAACACTAGTCTCAAAAGAGTGAGACTTAACCCTTTAAGCCCTTAAACCCTCAAAACCTAGTCCCCAAAAAAAGATCTAGTATCCCAAGGCTGGAAATCATGTAAGGGACTTATTGCATGAATGGGACCTAGAACCTAGTAAAGCTTGCAACTTTAAGCCAAGAGAGGTCATGAAAGGGCCAGATCTAACACAATAACCCATGGAACCCTCAACTTCATGGGACAACCCAAACATCAACCCAAAATCAAAACAAAGCATCAAACTAAGAGATCTAGATGATAATAAAGCAAGGCATCGACTTTATACCTCAAAAGGACTGCAACAGATGGAGAGTTTCTGGATCTAAAGCCCTCCTTCCAAACTAGGCACCTCCAACTTCAAAGCCCCTTCCAAAGAATACCAAAACCAACTCCTCAAGCTCACAACAAGCCTACACACTCAACCTTGGAGGATAATGCACGAAATTAGGGTTTCCTTCCCAGCGGCCAACTCGTCGAGTTGAGGCACCCCAACTCGTCAAGTTGTTCCAATAATTCATGCGGCCAAAATCCACTCAACTCTACGAGTTGAGCCAAGTTGAAGCCTTCAACTCGCCGAGTTCAAAAGGAAAAATCACAATTTAAGGAAATAAATTCATATCGGAACTAAGCGTTACAAATCTCCCCCACTTGAATCAGACTTCGTCCTCGAAGTCTGCAGCCTCAAACAACCCCAAGTAATGATCCCTCATCTCCTTCTCGGGCTCCCACATCCATTTTGAACCCTTCCGATGTTGCCATTGTACCTTTACTAACTTCATTTCTTTGTTCTGTAGAGCTTTTGTTTTTCCGTCCAAAATCGCAATGGGCTTCTCCACATAATTCAGGCTCCCATCAACCTGAATATCATCTAAAGAAATGATTGCGGCCTCATCAGCAACACAATTCCGAAGCTGAGACATGTGGAAGGTGTTGTGGATCTGACTGAGCTCATCCGGTAGATCCAATCAATAAGCAACCCTGCCAATACGGGCGGAAATCCTGAACGGACCAATGAATCAGGGACCCAGCTTGCCCCTCTTCTGAAACCGAATGACATCCTTCCATGGTGACACCTTCAACAAAACAAAATCCCCCACTTGAAACTCGAGGTCTGAACGACGCCGACCAGCATAACTTTTCTGACGGCTTAGCGCAACTCGCAACCTGTCACACACTTGCTGAATCAACTCGGTGGTCTTAAGCACCACCTCAGTGCTTCCCATAACTCAATGACCCACTTCTCCCCAACAAACTGGAGTCCTACAGCTCCGACCATACAACATCTCAAACGGGAGTCGATCGATACTAGCATGATAACTATTATTATATGAGAACTCTGCCAGAGTGAGGTAAGTATTCCAACTTCCCCCGAAATCCAATATACATGCCCAAAGCATATTCTCGAGCATCTGTATCGTCCGATCGCTCTGCCTATCGGTCTGCGGTGTTAAGCAGTACTGAAATGAAACTGAGTTCCCAACTCCTTATGAAACTTTCTCCACAATCTGGAGGTCAAACGAACATCTCTTCCCATTTCCACATGGGAACAGATAGTGGCTGCATCATTCCGTGAGTCCTCTAATGTTCGGCCTTGACCTTACTGTAGGTTAAACACCGCTCGACAAGCCACACCACCTCCCGCTTCATGCAGGGCCACCAATAGCTTAACCTTAGGTATTGATACATCTTTGTGGCCCCCAGATGGATAAAAAATTTAGACTTGTGCGCCTCCTCCAAGATTCTTTGCCTCACACCTCCTGACGCCGGAACCCAAACTCTGCCACACTGAGTCAATAACCCTCGACTATCCCGAACGAACAACGGAATTTGCATTGAATCCGCTCGATCTTCCAGTTCTACCTTTTTAAACCCTCCACCTATGCCTCATTAATCATATCCAATAAAGGTGAAATCGATGTCATCCTCAAGCAAACATCTTGAATCGGGGCACTTTCCGTCTTATGGCTCAAAGCATCAGATACAAAATTGGCCTTCCCGGGATGGTACAAGATCTCACAGTCATAATTTTTTGCCACATCTAACCACCGCCTCTGACGCATATTCAAATTCTGTTGATCCATCAAATACTTCAAACTCTTGTGATCGGTGAAGATGGTACATCGTACACTATAGAGATAATGCCTCCAAATCTTGAGGGAAAAAACCACTGCCCCCAACTCCAAATCATGAGTGGGGTAATTCACCCCATAAGGCTTCATCTACCTCGAGGCATAAGCGATCACATGCCCACTCTGCATCAGCACAACTCCTAACCCTGAAATAGAAGCGTCTCAAGATACTGCAAAATCATCCAATCCCTCGGGTAGAGCTAGAATCGGGGCCTCACATAATTTCTTCCTCAATATCTCGAAAGCTAACTATTGATCTGGACCCCACTGAAAGGTCACACTCTTCTTGGTCAAACGGGTGAAGGGTACAACAATTTTGGAGAAATCCTAGATGAATCTCCGATAATACCCCGCTAAAC